TCCCATCCAATCCCGTCCCGTCCCATCCCGTCCCATCCAATCCTGTCCCATCCCATCCCGTCCCATTCCATCCATCCCATCCAATCCCGTCCCGTCCCATCCCGTCCCATCCAATCCCGTCCCATCCCATCCCGTCCCATCCAATCCTGTCCCATCCCATCCTGTCCCATCCAATCCTGTCCCATCCCATCCCGTCCCATCCCATCCCATCCATCCCATCCCATCCAATCCCATCCCATCCAATCTCATCCCATCCCATCCAATCCCGTCCCATCCAATCCCATCCCATCCCATCCCATCCCATCCAATCCCGTCCCCCATCCAATCCCGTCCTGTCTCATCCCATCCCGTCCCATCCCATCCCATGAGCCTTGGCCCTGGCTTTGGCGATTCTGCAACTATCCTGGGCACATCCCAGGTCTCAGCTTAGTCAGAGGGGGGTAGGGAGTGGGGTGAGTACAGAAAGTCTCCAGGAAGCATTTTTGTCCACCCAGGAAAGATAGTGATCCACTCTGACCTCCCTACAACCCCCCCAGGTTGGGTAGACCTGCCTTACCGTTCAGAAACTGAGTGATCCTAGCAAATACCTCAGCCCTTCTGAGCCTGTTAACTTATCTGCAAATGGGGTTATCCCATACCTCCCCTTTAGGGCTGCTGTGAAAACTCAGTTTGAGATGTATGAAAAACGCCTAGAATAGTTACTGAGATGCATTATCTATTCAATGAATAGTACCTTTCTCCCTCTTTCCTTCTTTTGTCCCTACCTTCCTTCTCTCTCTCTCCTCTCTGTCTCTCTCTCTCTCTCTCTTCCCTCCCTCTTTTCCATCTTTCCTCCTACCTTATGGAGAAGTAAATCTACTTTAACACATTGAAGAACAGACCAGTAAGGGTCCGATTTTATTATTTTGTAATAAAACACTGACTGGTCCTCAGGGGCCCCCTAGGAAAACGCCTATAGACCAGTGAGCCTCGCGCAAGCCTCCCGGCTTCAGCGCTTGTGAATTCCTGGTCAGCCCGGGGCTGTGCATCTGTCTTCTCGAACGAACGAATGCGGTAATCACAGAGTGAGTGTAAATGCTAAAGAAAGAAGCAGGCAGGGCGGGGCCGAACCACATGAGTGATGCTGAGGAGACTCCAGGGAACCCGCCAGAGGGCCGGGAGGTGGGCGAGGCAGAAGGACAAGCTGTCTCGCCCTCGCCAGCGTTTAGGGACAATTATGCCCTGTTAACGGCTTACATCGAAGCTCTGCCCTGCGCCCGGGCGGCCCCCAGATGTGCGCGGCCCACAAATAGGCACTTGGAAAACTCCTGAACTCCCAGTGACTTGACGCCAGCTGATCTGATCGGCAATTACGTTTTATTTTTGGGGCCAGGGAGGCAGCAGAGAACCGGGGAAATTACAAGACAGCGGAGGGCAGTTCTTCTAAGAATATCAACTACAAACATTTTTAACCGATTGTTGTTTCAACGGTTAGAGGTTTGCAAGGCACTAAAATAAGAAAGTTTGGGACACTAAAATCAGATGATAGCTCATTTCCCCAAGAGAGGTTTCCAGCTTTTGTCCAACAAAAATCTGTATTTTTTTTTCCTTTTCTTTTTTCTCTTTTTTTTTTTTTTTTGAGGGGACAAGGGATAATTCCTGTCAAGACAAGTTTGCCTGGACAGTGAGCGCAGCACAGAGACACACAGATGTGTCGTCTGCTCTGTGTTTGAATCTTGGCTCTGCTTCTTCCTCACTCTGTGACCTTGGACCCGCTGTCTGACCTTCCCGGCTCCCGTCCTCCCCTGCGTAAAATGAGGGTATGACCCCTAGCTTGGGGCTTATTATAAGCACAGGACGAAATGCTCATAAGCATCTGGCCTAGGGCTCAGGACACAGGAACAAGACGGCGCCTTCTTGCGTAATGCTGGTTTCTTATCGTCTGAAATAAACGGTTCCTCTTTTCACCACCCTCTGTCCAACGCAAAGAACCAATCAGCATCGAAAGGGGGACCCGGGTCTCCGGGAGCAGTTTGGTTTCTAGCAATTGAGGGGGTTGTCCTCTGCTCCTGTGGTAACATCAGTCCAGGCTGAGCAACGCCAACGAAGAAAAACGCGAGAAACCAGCAGCCAGGCCTGATCAGGTGCAAAGCGGCAAGTGCCTCATGGACACAAAATCTAACGGAACTCAGCAGGAACGCTGGCTCGCTTCTCTTCCTCAACGCCCCCGGGCAGCCCAAAGGGGCACCCACGGTTTCTCCCAGGAGCGCCATGGACTGGCCTAGTGTGGGAATGGCACGTAATTGCAGCTTGTAAAGGAAACCAGCCCGAGGAAAAACATCCCGGGACAACATCCCGAGGAAGTGGGGCCATCTTCCTGCAGGGACACGTCCCCGGTTACCGGCGACGGGGGCCAGACAGCGCGCCCTTGGCATTCTCGGTGGAGGGCAGTGACTCACCCTCCTCTGCCCTCACAGCTGCTCCCTGAGCCGCCTGCCTCTCCAGCCCCATCTTCCCGCCCAGGTCCAGGGCCACGGCTGCTGCGTGAGCATCTTACCCACACGACATTCCCACTCCACCGACGTGAGAGACGGACTCTACCCAGGAGGGTTCTCTCGCCTCTGATTGGTTTACTTGCCCGGCATCTCACGCCGGTCCATCCTGGGATGGAACCGGATGTGGAAGGCTCACCACACGCACGGCTCACCCTTCTGTGCCCGGCGCCTGGCACGGAGCTGCCCGGAGCGGGTGCTTGTAATAACAGCAGGTGAAGGAGTGAAGGAGTGAATAAATCTGGGGATGAACAAACTCCATAAGAGGCTCTGAGGAAGGCACATCTTCTCATGTAAGCCTGTAAGGCCGGCATTTTTTGTTTTTAATACTATTTTTATTGATTTCAAAGAAGAAGGGAGAAGGAGAGAGCGAGAGAGCGAGAGAAACATCAATGGTGAGAGAGAATCAATGGTCAGCTGCCTCCTACACATTCCCACACTCGGGATCCAGCCATGTGCCCTGATCAGGAATCAAACTGTGACCTCCTGGTTCATAGGTTGATGCTCAACCACTGAGTCACACCAGCCGGGCACGGTGGTATTTTGAGGACCATGATATAAATGCAGGAAAGCGGCCTCAGAGGGGTTACGTGTCTTGTCCACATTCACATAGCTTATGAGTGAGGAAACCATTCTTTGAACCCGGTCTGACGCTAAAGTCAAGACTTCCAACACTGAATCCATCCTCATGACCATGGTACTGATGAATCATAGTTACAACAGCCTCTGACACATCAGAGTTACCTCTCCGTCCCGCCGTCCCAGGGAGACGGGGAAAATGAGCCTAAAGGAGCGCTCATTGTGCATCCAAGGTTGCCGCACCTGGTGGCGGTGAGGTAGGAACTTGAACCTGGACCTTCATTTTTCCATCACAGACATGTGGGGGCATCTGCTACAGACCCTGCGTTAGGGCTGGGTGCTGGAGGTGCTGTTTCTCTGATTTCTGTCTGAAAACGACAGGTTCCTGAATGGAGGAGCTGGGGATTAAGAAATATTGAAAACAGAAAGAGACAAGGAGGCAGAAATAGATTCATCAAGCTGGGCGCTAGGTGGGGGCCATCTTCTCTGATGGAGAGGCAGCAAGCAGACCGATCCACGCAGCAGGTTTATTTTATAGGGTCAAATAAAATAAAGGCCCTAGCATTACTGGATTTACATATCTAGACCCGCCCCTGCTCACACCTGTACAAAGATACTCTGCCAGTGCCTCGGGCTCAGCTGACAATTTAAAGAATGTCCATGTGCCTTCTCAGGCGGCCCTCTACACCACAGCTGCAGACTTCCTCTCCAGAGGGACATCTACTTCAGAACAGTTGCAGTGGCCTAGCCCAGTGGCCGGCAAACTCATTAGTCAACAGAGCCAAATAGCAACAGCACGACGATTGAAATTTCTTTGGAGAGCCACATTTTTTAAACTTAAACTTCTTCTAACGTCACTTCTTCAAACTAGACTCGCCCAGGCCGTTGCATTTTGTGGTAGGGTCACACTCAAGGGGCCCAAGAGCCGCATGTGGCTCGCGAGCCGCAGTTTGCCGACCACGGGCCTACCCTCCCTGGCCCAGTCACACCGAGCTCCGAGGGGGAGGGCGGAGCTGACGGAGGCTCGCATCGACTAGGCTGGGCCACTGGAGATGAGCAGCCTCCGGAGCCCCCTGGTCCAGCAGGAAGTGCCGGTGATTGACAGGGAAGAGACAGGGATCTGTACGTCCGCAGGCTCAACCCTCTGCAAAGCTTCTGGGAGCCCAGGACCTTGGAGGACCACGCAGTGTTGGCCTCCACCAAGCCACTTGGTCCGCAGACACACTACGTAAAGAATTTGGTATGAAATAAAGCTCAGAGACGGTGGCCAAAGCAGTAACTCTTTTTCCCCTTTCCTAACAGCGATCGCAGGTCAGCGGACGGGCCGCGGGTGGTTCACTCACCGGTTCTCAGCGTCAAGGTCACGTGCTAGTGAACGTTCCCACAAAAGGACCAGCCTCGGAGCCTCCTCATCGAGGCCCACGATCGCCGCGAAGAGCACTTTCCCGCGGCTGGAGCGGATGTTTGCTCAGAGGAGCTCTTTTCATAATCAAGCCCGATGTACACCGTGACAGTCACTTAGCAAAAGTCCCCTGCACCGGGCGTCCTGCCCAGAGGGCGCGGTGAGGTGGGACTCTTGGGGCTTTCACGATTGCCTTCACCTCCTTTGGGGGTGCCACAGGGGAGGCGGCACAGCCCGCCAGCTCTGCCACTGAACCATGTGGATCTCGGGGGCTCGCTCCAGCAGGACCCCACGGAAGTATCTAACCCGAACCCATCGTGCGGAGAAAGGGTGACCCAGAAAGCAAGCACTGGAGGTATAACGCCAGGCAGTGCAAGAAGTTTCAAATGCCCACGGCATAGAATTTCGGAGTTTTTCATCGCCCCGTCTCCCCCCGCCGCTCCCCCAAAATCGATGCACGGAGACAACAAGGAAGCTCGTGGGCTTACCTGGGTCGGGTTGTAGAGCTCCTGCAGGGGGCTCCGCGACCCCTTCCGGCAGCAGATGTCCACGCCGAAGGGGTTCCTCCGCATGACTGAGGAGAGAAAGCGGGGGCTCATCAGAAACGAGCAGCACACGCGTGTGGTCTCACAGAGGCAGAGGCAGGGGGAGGGGAGAAGCAGCAGTTGGGAGGGCAGACAGAGAAGCGGCCCTAGCACAGCTGTACCTTCCGTGGCCCCGGGGCCGCCCTGCCTGCCCGCCATCCAGGCATCCCCACCCCCGGCGGGGCAGAGAGCATGCCAGCAGCTCTTCCCAGCAGATACCACGACGACAACAACAACACGGGCCTCGCACACCCTGAAATGAAGCTGCTTCTGAGACAGGGAGTGGTGCCAGCACCAGCCTGGGCGACCTCGGCCTCCTCCCTCAACCGTCCGTCAGCACCTCCAGCTCCTGGTCCCCGAGGCATGGGGTCCCCGGAGCAGTGCCGTGCCCCCCAGAAGCTTTGCAGAGGGTTGAGCCCCCACGGAATGAGTCAGGGGCCTGGCCTCCCCAAAGCCTCTAGCAGATGAGGTTCTTCTTTGTGAGGATACCGGCCGCAGGCGGACAGGAGGAGCGCGTCCCAGACAGACACGGGTGGCGCGGGCCATGGACCAGAGAGGGGAATGAAGGGAACTCCTCAGAAGCCCAACGTCGAGAACGATGTTTAAAGGGAAACGATGCTTTCAGGCTTCGTTCTTCTTGTTCTCAAACACCCTCACGCGGTGCAGCCCCCCGTAGTTAGCCGTTGGATAATCATTTGTTGGAGGAAGGGAGGGAGAAAGGGAGGGAAATGAATGAACGAACAAGAGCCTTCCTCGCACACAGGAGGCGATTTTCTTGTGCACGGGCAGGGTGGGGACACGATGGGAAGGAGCCAAGCAGGTCCTGTCACAGTCTAAACATCCCACTCCGACAGAGCGGCGGCAGGACATTCTCCGCAGCAGACGGCCTGGGCTTGGACCCTGGCTGTCCCGCTCACCAGCTGTGTGACCTTAGGCAAGATGCCTAACCTTTCTGTGCTTCTGTTCCTTGGTCTGTGAAATGGGGATGAGACAAGGGAAACCAGAAAAGTCCGCACACGTGCTGCCCGTCACTCCCAGAATCAGGAAGTTGCTTCTCGATGGGAGCTTTCTTCAGGCTGCCGGTGATCTGAGAGGCTGGGGGCGGGGGGGGGATGGACCCTAAAAGACCGTCTTACGTCTCATCTCAAGCCGCCAACCCCTTTTACAAAGAGAAGGGACATGTCGGGGGAGTGTCTGGGATTCAGGGGAACAGGTTCATCCCTTCGTCAGCGGACCGGCGGCTCTGGATCTGCATCCGGAGCTCCATGGCTCAGGCCCTGTCTTGGCCGCTGCTGTCTTCCTGGGGCACAGGGGTCGAATCCCTTGTGGGTCTCCTCAAGTCTGGCCGGGTCCGGTCAGACATTCCAGCCCCTGGAACAATAGCTTCCCCATGCACAGTTCCCAAGCCTGTTAACGTAACTAAAGCTCACCATCTTTCACCGCGTGAGTTCCCGTCAGAAGGACGTGGCTCCCTGGGTTGGGTGTGAGGACTAAATGAGTTACTACTATATGCAGAATGTTTTAACTGGGTGGCAGCAAAAAATAAATAAATAAATAAATAAATAAAAAATAATAATAATAGCCGAAACCGGTTTGGCTCAGTGGATAAGAGCGTCAGCCTGCGGACTGAAGGGTCTCGGGTTCGATTCCAGGCAAGGGCATGTACCTTGGTTTTGGGCACATCCCCAGTGGGGGGTGTGCAAGAGGCAGCTGGTCGATGTTTCTCATCGACGTTTCTAACCCTCTCAATTCCTCTCTGTGTAAAATCAATAAAATATATATATTTAAAAATAATAATAATAATAATAATGAAGTGTGTGTGTTAGAAATTTCTGAAGCTACTGGAGATCATAAACTAGATTTGCCCAGAATACATGACAAACATCACTCCTCCTGAGGGGACGTGGGGACTTCATTCTTGAGCCATGGAGGGAGCTGGTGAGATGTTACCAGCCCTCAGGCTGGCCTTGGGATTCTCTGCCAGGAGAGCCACACAGGCCAAGCCGAGGTCCACGAGGCGAGGGGAGCCATCTCCAGGAGCCGATTCCTTCTGGAAGGTCCCCAGGTGAACCCACGCCTCATGCAGTTCCCCTTGGACCTGCCTCTTGAAGGCACAGGGAAACCCCGAGGGCATGCCACCCACTCGGGGACACTCCAAGCTGCCTCTTCTCTCTCTCCTCCCTTCCCTCGGAAGGCCAGGTCAGCAAATGTCTCTCCAAAGGGCCAGACGATGCTCTGGCTTTGTGCCATCTGGTCCCTGCTGCCCTTTCTCCCCTGGGCCACGCAGACCACGTGGAAATGAATGGACACGGAATTCCATCTCGCTTGCACAGGTCAGGAAAGACGACTTTTCTGTTGCTTTCTTTTCACCATCTCACAGAAACAAAGGATGGGCCAGATGGGGCCCCCAGGCTGCAGTCAGCGGTGCGATCCCCAACACACCACGGTGACCGACTCTCTGGACAGGAGGCGATCGGCAAGCAACTGTCCACACATAAAGGCCGTTAGGGTGCGATCAGGAGGCGGATGGGGAAACACTGGCCCTTTGTTCCTCCCCAGTTGCCTCGAGAAGAAGGGGGGAAAAAGAAATCCATGTTGTGTTTTTCTTTAATTTACTACTTCATTTTTCATTTCCACCCACAACGAGGTACACCGTGAAACGCATGCACATTGCCCTTCGCTGCACAGTGACATAGCAACACTTCGGAGGAGGAAAAAAAAAAAAAAAAAAAAAAACAGCCCTAACGCTTGTAAAATGACGCCCTCGCCGTGCAAGACGAAGCCCTGCCCGCAGCGGCAGACGGGCTGGCCGCCACGGAGAGAACCCCGGCGCGCAATCCATTAAAAGCCAGCTTTTACGGGGGGCAGTATTATTTAATTGGTTTACTTTTCTAATACAAGGCCTTTACAGCGCTCTGACCGTGTGGGGCCTGCAGCACGGGCCCCTTCCCGAGGCCGCCGGGGCCGCCCGGACCCCGCCAGGCGCCGCCGCGGGAAGCGGCCCTGGCTCCCCAGGAGCCAGAGGGGCCGCCTGTGTGCTCTCCTATGGGAACGATCACAATCCCGCCATTTACGGGCGCTGCTCACCGCGGGCCGGGCACGTGGGAGAGCGTGACCCTTCTTCGCCCAGCAGAGGGAGGACCTGCACGGCACAGATCACCTCCCACACGGCGGGAACCTGACCGAGATCAAGGCCACGTGGGGGGGGGAAGTGGCCGAGCGGAGACTCCAACCTGACTCCGGACTCTTCCTAGCCAATGACGGGACCTCTGCGGGCCCGGGGGACACGGGGAGGGGTGCCGGTGACACACTTTCGACGTGAGTCTGTGGATCCTGTGTGTGTGTGTCTTAGGTAAGGTGACCACATCGTCCCACTTTTGGCAGGGCAGTCCAGATTTCTAACAATTTTTCCTGCGTCCCGGGAAAGATTGGAAAGATTCTTTCCAAAAATCGGGGCTTTTTTTTAAAAATGCCGTGGGACACAGGAAACATTGTTAGGAATCTGGACTGTCCCACCAAACGCGAGGACAATCTGGTCACCTTAAGGGAAAAATAGGCATCAGAGGAGACTGAGCAACCAACCCATACACACAGACGGTGGCATTGACCGTTCAGAGAGCGTTCAGGGAACACCGAGAAGTCACACGTGTCACCGGCACAACAGTCCTATGGCGCGGGTCCCACGACTGATGGGAATACTGAGCCACCGAGGTCACGTGCCTAGATCTCAAGACCAGTAAGAGGGGAAGACAGGATGCTGGCACAGGCAGCCTGTGCTCTCAGGTGCCACGCCGGGCCAATGTCAAGTGCCCAACCCACCAGGTCTCCACAGTTTCTTCCTAGCCAAGACCTGGTTGGCCGGCCACTTCTAGGACAGGAGATTTAACATGTAATCCAGCGTGACGGGATTCATCAAAAGGAAGTGAGAGGGTGGCCAAACGATTAGCTCACAGAGACTACGCTCACTTATCCTCCGACTAATTCTTATCAAGCACCTACTATGTGCTGGGCATCTCATTCACGCTGTTTCTCTGGCACGTGGCACACAGTAGGCACTCAGAGAAGTTTATGAATGGTCTAGGACTTAAGGCTTCCTTTATGCACAGCGGGGAGCCTGTTTCCAGCTGTCAGTCTGCGGAGGAAAGTTCCAGCAGCATCAGGAGGCCGTCCTTTTTTTCCCTCTGAAAATGGAAGGTTTAACGATCAAGAGCCCTGACAAAGGAATCCCTGCGGACGTGTGACAGTGGCCTCCCGCTGTCCGCCCACCAGCACGGGTTCTGTTTCGCAGCAGCCCTTGCTTTCTCCTTTCGAAGCACGACTCCATGAAATTCAAGACCGTTTTTGGGGAGAATCTGATTAGCTCCGTTTACAGTACGATTTCTTGGGACCAGGAACAGTTGTGTGTGTGTTCCAAACACAGAAGTGAAGCTAAAATTAAAACGAAGCCCCTCGCGTCTGTTTCTCTCTATGGTGACGAGCACACTGGTTGGAAGGGGATGCTTCGCTCCCAGTGAAAGTCGGCTGGAGACGAGGGAGGGGGCCCACTCCTCCTCGGGGCGGCTCCCCACCACCCTGCCCGTGCTGCGGGGCAGAAAGGAGCAGCGGCTGCGCGGCTCAGGCAGGTCTGCAGACACAGAGCGGAAATGCTGTGGGACTCTGGGTGGGAACTTGCCGTTGATGCATTTCATAAAACCGATTCTGAGGGCTGGAACGCAGGTCTTATAAAATGCAGCAATCGCTAATAATGATCATCGTGAAAAATACACACCGATTGAGAATTTACCAAATACACATTGATTGAGAGTTTACCCTGTGCCTGAGATGTCTGACACAATGTTAATTAAAAATTAAGCCCCCCCCCTTTTTTTTCCTTCACATTGCTTCCTTTAATTCTCATAAAAATCCCGTTGGAAATAATGAATAATAATATCCCTTATCCCCAGTTTATTTACATATATTAAAAAAAACATTTTTTTGATAGTTTTAGAGA